ATGTAATACAATAATTGGAGGCAAAGATAGGAACGGATATGAATCATTTGATTGTGTTTGGTTTAGACAGGAACATTAACATTTAACACGTATTAACACGCATTAAGACAATAATATTACAATTATATATATATATCCATAAGAAACATTTAACATTTATAATATTCTTGGAATTTCGCGGTTTGAAGGTAGCAGTGCATCACAGGTGTTTCGCGGAGCTTTTGTGGTTTTTTTACGAAACTTTTTATGTAGCAAGGAGTGGTACAAATATTTTGATTTCAAATCTAAATTTTAATTAAAAATTTAGATTTAATCAATTCTAAATTCCAACTTTTAAAATTTCCGAAAACATTGCGAATGATTTTTTGCACATTATTTGCGTAGTTCGAAATGTGATTATAATTTAGATTTGAGACATGTGAATTAATGAGGTCAGGTGGAAAAATATGAAAGAGGCAGAGAAATTGAATTTTAGAATATCAGTGATAAATTATTCCGTGGTGGATGTTCAAAAGAATAAAAAGAACAACATCAGGCTGTATTAATGAATGGAAACCTCCATTTGCAAAAAATTAGTTAGTAAGGATTCCGTGAGAATTGATTGTTTAAAAAAAAAAATCGGAAGCATCCAAAAATGAAATATGACAGAATAGCTAAGATATTTATTTATTTCCGATGCTTCCATTGGAGAAAAGACAAGGAAATGTTCGCAGCTATTGAGAGTGGTACTTTTTTTACTAGGGAAGTTGTAAGTTTGCCTTCGGCATAGTGAAGCGTTTAATTTTACAATTATCACAGAATTATTTTATCAATGGTTTCAATGCAGCAACTGCAACTGAACATGATAAAATATTATTGATAAATGATTGCAAATGAACGGCGAATGCGAACTGAACACTTTGATCGGTATTTTCATGTATCTTGAGCGATAATACTTTTTCTATGATTTCATCAGCTGTTTCATACCGGTAACGAAAAGCAACGGCATTTATTTGATATGAATTACGCAATTGTAACAAATCATCTTTTGCCTGTTCATTATTATCCGTATTTTCCAGCTCAGATAAAATCTCACGCAATATCCTGAAAAAAGTGCTAATCGATGGGAGCTTTAGTAGTTCAATATTTTCATTCTTTTTGGAATTTGCCAAATTTTCTCACTGCTTCTGACCTTTGCATCTTTGCATTAATTTTTTTTGATTTTTTTGCTTCAATTTTTGCGAAACAATGATGCAGAAAATTTGATCCTTCTAGTAACACTAAGATATATGATTTTTTTGTGGATAATAAATATTCTATTTACTAAATTAAATTTTATAGTCAAAATTATAGATATAGATGAATAAATGGAAAAAAAAG